CGGGGTTATCTTGTACCTACCCCGTATTACGTGGAATATTTTCCCAGAGTTGGCCAGTAGTTGATTTCTACTGGATTGTTCGGTGAATTCCACTGCTTCTTTCGCAATTTTTAGGCAAGATTTGCATACCCTGGGTCTTTGCAGTACAGAGCATATCGTTCTGGTGTTATCCCAGAGCACTTTGCATGTGCCCATCTCCCGCAAACCTCGCATTCTATGCCTTTCACTACCCGCTTTCCGCAATGCTCATTCAAGCATGGAAAGGCGACTCTAGGCATCTTAATATAGATAGCAAGGTTGAGAGCGTCAGAAAGTGGATCACAAAATATACCTGAACACGTACAAAATCTGAAATAATTCAAATTTCGTGTAAACCAAAATTCGAAATGGCTAAAACCTTTTCGAAAAAAATGGTAAACACCGGAAAACAGTGCAAAAACCGTAAAACCACACTTATAGAAGTATAATACCAAAGTGAAACCACAATACAATTGGTTTCACTCAATAGAACTTTCAAAATTTTACGATTCAACCAGAGAGCAAGATTCACGCAACCAGTTCGAACGTACCGCCAAGGTCAGAGGCCCTGCAATGGGATTCGAACACCCTTGTCAAATAGAGCCCAGATTAGTCGCTAGTTACTAATTCACAGAACTGTTCATGTATGTGCAAAGGATCGTAAAAGGTCGGGAGTATTCTATTTAAGCCACTTTTTATCAAGGTAGTTGTGTTGATCCGGGCCTACGAAATGACGCGTACTCTGGAGCGACGCGTTACAGCTTTTGGATGACTGCGAGCAATCAAACTTCACGGGTGACCTCAGCAAAGCGCGTACGTGTCACTGCTTCCGGATTACATATCATGGCTAGATTGTACCGACCAATTAGAGACCGTGCGGCCCAGACAGAAGCAGAAAGACGCCAGAAATACTGGAACGTGATTGGCAGAGGCTTGGATGACCAATGAGCTTGTTTTGTACACATTATTTAGTCTCCCTTATTTATTCCAATAAATTAACTACTAATCCTGTGGTCTTTTCCTCGCATCTCATTTACGTGGAATATTGCGTGTTGGTACCAGTGTGTTCCAGTGCTTACTTGATCCAGTCCGTGATTGCTAATCCTTGATTCGTATCCCGGGATCCGTATTGCGTGGCTCGTATTCCGAGTTCAGTGCGTACTACCACTATCATTACTACACTTACCACTACCGCGAAAAAATCATGGAGTCTACTTCAAAACGGCGCCAGTATGAACGCCTAGACACAATGAGGCGATTATTTCATAACTTCATACTAAAGGCCTCTAAGATGTTGTTCACCATACACCTTCATTCAAGGCTGGAATAAGGAAATGTGGATGTGTTCCTATGCATCTTTAGTGCAAAAGTGCAAACTGGAGAGGGTGCAAAAGGCTGAAACTCCGCTGGTTTATTTACTCAAAGGACGGAAGTAATACCATTAACTGGACGCTCTTAGAAAATGGTCCCTAGTATATCACAGACCACATGAAGAACTAATCTTTATCCACAGAATCATTCAGGACGAAATGGGTTTTAACTTTGAATAGTGCATGCCCATCAGAGAAGGGAGACAAGTAAGGACTCCAAGACCTTATCGCAGATTTCAGTCCTACCGGTACTGCATTCATCGCGGCGCAACATCAATCATTCCAGTGCTTTGTCAAAGCACATTTCAGAGGAGGATCGAAAAACTGTGCTCTGGCAGCTGCTGGACAAGCAGCTAGAGCATCTTTGGAAAGTAAATCGGCTGCTTGTGACCCGCTGACGGCATCACCGGGAAAGCAGTGAGTGGAAGAAGCTTACACAAGAACATCACTTCTGAAAATGAACAAGTTAGCAGTAAATGATCCGACGATGGAGACATCTTTGATTTTTTTTAAAATCTCGGTAAACCCCACACAGACAATCGTATCCGTCACTTTGAACAAGAGAAAAAAAACTTTGTTTCAATCAAAAATAATCGAATACTGATTACGATAATCGGACCAGGTAAAAGCGGCAGTCGAAATTAGTCCCTACATAGAGATGAGTAGGCGCAATTGGATAGGAAATTTCCAAGGCCATAGCCGGGGCGAAGTGTAGGCAATCACGCAATTGAAACAGGCGCACACGAAGGACTAAATCCATGAGGGTTAAAGGTTGCATCAAATAGCAAGTTGAGAGCGAAAATAACGGTCGTCATACCCAGCGAACTATTCGCGGTCAGTGAAGTAGTCAATCGAAAGCTCAATAAGCATTAGTAAAAGAAAAACTCCACGTGAACAGAAATAATCAATGCCTGTATGGCCTGTTGATATCATTGGAGAGGTGTAACTCAGAGATCACCAACTAATTGCTCAATGACGCGAAATTTATTGGAGTTCTAGGTCAGATAGAATTCGCTGCATCGACAGATCATCACCATCATCATCATCATCCTCATCATCATCATCATCATCGTCATCATCATCATCATCCCCATCGTCATCATCATCATCATCATCATCATCATCATCGTCATCATCGTCATCATCGTCATCATCATCATCATCAGTTTGTCCCCGTCTCTCCCTACCCAGTTTTGCATGGTTCGTTCAGTTGCACTCATTTGGCACGAATATGATTGCCATTCTACCCTCACAACACTCTTGGGTCACGCAGAAAAGTCTAATGTTGTGTGTGTGTTTGTGTGTGTGTGTGTGTGTGTGAAGCGACTTGTCTTTCAAATTCCAGTAATTCCACCAATGACGAAGGTAAAGCGGTGAGATTAGAAACTGTTCCCGAGGTTGGTCACATGAAATTTTGATTAATATACACACATATCTCACTTTTGTTTCATGCAAAATCTGTCTTCTGTGTTTTCAGTAACCGCTCCATCTCCCTCCGTGTCAGCCTTGTTCAATTTTGACGCCTACTTGAAATTCAAAGTCTTGTTTCTGATCACTATCCAATTTGATCATTTCAAAAACCCGTG